GAAAAACACCTTTTTAGGTGTTACTCCAACTGCAATTGGAACTAGGGACACGTATCAAAATAAGTTATCAAAATGTGGAATGAGGAGTACGGTTCTCAGCAAACCCCAGGTTGTATTTCTGTCTTCTACATGATCATGTTACACCCATTGATGCTGGTGCCTCCAAATCCAGAGGAACCTCACCCGGATGTGGGCTAGAAATAGGTTTTACCTTTGACTGATCTTGCTTTCACACTGGTAGGAGAAAAAAAAATTAAAAATAAAGTGTTCTGCAGTTGGAATCTGACTTTTAATACTTCACACAAAAGAATTTGTGTGTAAAAAATTCAGAAGGGACAAGATAATATTGTCATCAACAGAGAACAAGTCTTCTGCCTAAGCAGACATCTTCTGCCTAAGGACAGAAACTTACAACATTTTCTGCCTAAGCAGGTATTTTATCATTAGAATCTCCCACAGCTTTTAAAAACTGACTTGAATTGGATTACTGTTCATGTTACAGTACTTCAGTAACCATGTTCAAATGCAGTAGCAACTCTTAAACAAACAGATCCGAGACAAACAAGAGATTACCGTTTCCACACAAAACATAATTAAAACATAGAACTCACATCTCTACGGGATTGTGGAAGCTCAAAGGAACCACGAGTTCAAAATGGAAAAATTCCTGGAGAAAAATGGGGTCACGTTATCTGTTCTTTGTTTCACACCATCTGCTGGTGGCTGCTGCTGGAGGCGGGGTACAAGGCTAGAAACATCTTTGGTTACGATATGGTAGTAGATCTGGTAGTTCTTAGGACAACATACAGCATTAGCATGATATTGTCACACTTTTATTAATTCTTTCACACACTTGCATCTTATTCATAAATACAGCTTTTGTCAAGGAAATTCAATATGATATGTTACCTGTAAAAGTATAGCATAATGAGTTACATTTTCACTTAAACGTATATATATATATATCTCTTACTATAATTTGTGATCAGTACCATCACAACTGCCAGGAAAAGAAAGGTGTAAAAAAAATTTTCAATTAAACAGATACACATAAATTTTATTCAAAAACAAACAAGAGCCATTTTCCATTTAAATCTAGCAAATCTCCCTTGATTCTCCTTATTGGATCATCCATCAAAATTACACAAAGCCTCTAATGTCTGTAAACTTTCCGGTTATAGTACAGGTATATGCAATTGCAGGTTATTAGAATTATCCTGGAATAATTCAAGGAGGCTTACACTAGGTTACACGAAATATTAACTATGATTATACAAATACCTAATACATCAGATGGCTGCAATCTTAGAGGAAGAAACTGAGGAACCGACCAAGCCAGGGAACAGCTCTCAAAGGCTTACGACAAATAATTTCAGCACCCTTCAGGATCATGCCTTTAAATACCAGCAATACAGACACCAAGAGCGCAGTTCTGCTTCCAGACATGTGCACAGGTGCAACTGCTCTTCTCATCCCAACGGTCTGTGGAGCACACCTCCTGCACCCAAGCCATCTACTTCTCTATGCCAACACAGTATCAGGTACCGAGGCACAGTTATGTCCTGGATAGCAGGGCACAGAGCTGTAACTAAACTTAAAGTGC